CACAAGAGAAATATGCAGTTCGGGAGATTTGAAGTTGAGCCTGCAGCATGATCCAGGGTGAGACCTTTTCAATATCACTCCCTATAGACAGTTTTAAAAAAAATTAAGAAACAGCTCGGTGTCAGGCAAGAAAGTACTAGAGCCTGCCTGATTAAGACCGAAACTGCGGATGTCACCAAATTTCCAGACACGTGCAATTTCTTGGTGAGTAACCAGTGTTGCTGACTCACTCCGCTGGGGGCCACGCAGCCCAAGTTGTTTCTTGCATGGGCATCTCATCTGCCCACTGCCATCTTGGCAGTGCTGCGTGGCCAGGCTGCCTTCATGGTTTGCCATGCTGGCCCCCACTAAGACTAAGCTGCTGTTGAAGCCTGTGCAGAGAAAGCTCCAGCACCTCTGGTTTTCATTTCCTGTTTGGTTTCCCACAACCTTATCCTCAGGCGAGAGCTTAGACTGACTGCCCTGAAAAGTTCAGAGACCTCGCTGGTTTCTTTCTCCAAGCACTGGGGTTACAGGTATGTACCACGAGGCTTGACTTTTACACGGATGCTTACAGAGGATCAAAATCAGGTCCTTGTTCTTTATCAGTGAGCCATCTCCCTAGCTGAGCATCGTTTTATTGTTTTAACTTTTCTTGGTCACTGGGGATCAAACTCAGCTCTTAGGTTTTTAAGGTAAGCTGGGTCATCTTTTACCTAACAAAAGAGTCGCTTGAGAAGTGAGAACCTCAGAGGAGGAACAACCTACATCAGACTGGTCAGTGAGCATGTCTGTTGGACATTTATGAAAAATTAATAACGGATGTGGAAGGGACCAGCCCTCTGTGGGAAGTGACGCCCTTGGACAGGTGGTTCTAGGTTGTGTAGTTTGAGGAGAAAAAGAGCACCAGAAAGTATAATGGAGCTAAGTTCATTGCTCACAGATAGTTTTTAAAAAGTCTAAAGAAAAACTTGATGCTAAATGAAATAAAGCTTCAAACTTGTGAAAAGGAATTAAAGACAAACTTAAGCATTGAAGGAAGCCATTGAACACAGGAAGCTGATTTTTTTTTTTTAGAAAAAAATGTATTTGAAGAAGGGGGTCAAGTTCCAGTCCCATCAAGCAGGAGACCTTGTCAACCTCAGCCACATGGCTCTGGCTTTAGAATCAAGGGTACAAGAAAAGGGTTGTATCCTTGTATTCCCCAGCAAAGGAAAGCCACTGAGGCCAGATGTGTGGCAGGGGAGCCCCTGCAGAGAGGACTCAAGAGACCATTATGTGAGGCTGGGAAGGTGAAGCCTGCATTGCCTTGGAAACCCCAAGAGGTTGGAGGTGCCAGAATTGTGGGATACCTGCCAAGGAAAACTGCAGGCCAAGTGAGGGGCCGGACTAACAGAGAGACTGTGTTGTGGGCAATAAGGCTGAAGGGACATGGAAAACTCAAGAGTGCTTTGGCGTCAGACGTGGAGATGCAGAATTTGGAGTTTGCCTGCTGGTTTTCAGTCTTGCTTTACTCGTGTTTCCTCACTATACCACCCTTACCTCCCTTCTGGAATGATAATATATTACATGCTGTTGTATGTTGGAAGTGTGTGATCTTGATTTTATAGAGGTTTTCACTTGAGAGAGTGCCTTGGGTCTCAGACTCTTCTGCGCCCGAACTTTGGACTTGAACAGTGTCGAGACTGTGATAGACTGAAGGTAGACTAACTGGACTACTGACGTTGGACTGAATGCGTATTTTGTATTATGATGTGACTATAAGCCTATTGGGGCCAGGGATGGTGTATGGCGGTTTGGATAAGAATAGGTCCATATATTTGGATGCTTCATCGCCAGGGAGTGGAACCATTTGAAAGAATTGGCAGATGTGATTCTGATGGAGTAGGTATGACCTTGTTGGAGGAAGTGTGTCACAAGGGGTGGACTTTGAGATTTCAAAAGCCTGTGCTAAGCTCAGTTAGCCTCTCTCTCTCTCTCTCTCTCTCTCTCTCTCTCTCTCTCTCTCATCAAGATGTAGCACTCAACAACTGCTCCAGGACCATATGTGCCACTGTCCTCTCTGCCATGCTAATAATGGGCTAAGTGTATGGAACCGTAAACAAGCCCTCAGTGAATGCTTTTCTTGTATTAGAGTTGCCGTGGCCATGGTGTCTCCTTGCAGTAGTAGGATGGTGACTAAGACACTTCACTGGGTGATTCCAGTTGTGGCATTGACCACAGCAAACTAGGATGCAGAGCAAACGCTTCACCCACTGAGCTATATCCGGAGTCCGTTTCCTAAACGTTATCCTGATTTCCTCCCCATCTCACTCCTGCCTTTGCTACTCAACTCTTTCCCCATGTTTGCTTCCATACTGGCTATTTATCATGTAAAAAATTCACATTATGTAAAGTGTATCTAAATATCTATGCAATGCATACATATATAATTTTGAAAGCACAGCTATTATAATTCTCCTGTAACTGACGCGAAATATTCTCAACCACCTCCATGGTGCACATACCATGTATTGGGAGGCCCTGAACCCACTCTTGTCTGTGCAGCAGGACTGGCCTTCAAACCTGTTTATTTGAACCTGGCTGTGCCTTCATATCCATTGCACTAGACCCAGCTCATGACTCTCTGGGTCTGAGAACCGGCTTTGCTTTCCGACCTGGGCATTCCTTAGTAATATCCTGTGTTGTCGCTCTACTTTGCAACCAGGCTGTTGCTGTCTGAGGCTGCTGAAAACCACACTGGCCGAGACAGCCCTCTCCCTGCCTTGAGACTATGTGGTCTGCCTTCTTCTCTCTGGGAGTTTCCTTTTGACTGTGGGTCCAAGGCACTGTATGATCTACCCGCTGTCCATGCTTGTTGGATGGCTTCAAGCAGGTAGCAGAAGCCGACATCCCGTGGATTGAATGTTGACCAGTGAATGACAGTAGTGCTTAGACAGAGGGTTCAAAAGTGTAGCCCTGTGCATTGACTCTGCTGGGATGCCTGGGAGACACTGAGCAGACCGTCTTGTCCCTAAGTGTGCCGGTGATACGATGGCTTCTTCTCTGTGCTCGCCTTCCTTCCCCATCTCTTCTCTCTTTGTCCTGCTGTCCTAACAGAACACAGTGGGCTCTCCTTTGGGTAAGTACGAAGTCAATAAACAGTGTCAGAAGACAAAAGGCTTTACCTCTAGCTGGTCAGGACAGCACAGGAGCTACCCCAGGGCACTGCCTTTCTTGAGCAAAGAGAGCAGGGATTTTTGTCAATAGTCCACATACTCATATAGAAAAGCACTCTGTGGGCCGGTGATTCCTGATCACGCTTGGTTAAGATGCATGTGCTGAGCATGCCCAGTTTAATGTCATAGTTCAAGGAGGGAAGATGACTGACATATCCCTGGCCATGCTCAGCTCAAAGCAATGATGGGCCTTCTCGCAAAGTTAGCATGGGACAGAGAATGCTCCTGGGTATGCTGAGTTTGTGCACTGAGACTGCAGGCAGGGGCACTAACGGATATATTGACCTGCTTTTCCCTAGAAGGTGTTTGCTGAAACCAAAGGAAGTGGCACTGAAAATCACTTGGAGAACACACACACACACACACACACACACACACACACACACACTGGGGAAGGTTCCACGGAGCACCTAAGATGGCCGTGTCATAGTTAGTTTTTGTTGATTTGACAGAAACCTAGACATTGCTGGGGATAAGGAATCACAAGTGAGGAATTGCCTCCATCAGTCTGGCCCGTGCCTGTGGGGCATTTTCTTCATTGCTGATTGATGTGGGAGGACCCAGCTCACTGTGGGCAGGCCATATCTGGGCGGGTAATTCTGAACTGTGTAAGAACGACAGATGAGCAAGCCAGGGGAAGCAAGTCAAGAGGCAGCATTCCTCCATGGTCTCTGCTTCAGTTCTGGCCTCCAGGTTCCTGCCTTGAGTTTATTGCCTTCGCCGGGTGAGGTGGCACATGCCTGTAGTCCCAGCTACTCAGGAGACTGAGACAAGAGGATCACTTGAGTCCAGGAGTTCTGGGCTGTCGTGTGCTATGCCGATTGCGTGTCCCCACTATGTTCAGCATCAATATGGTGACCTCCCGGGAGCAGGGGACCTCCAGGTTGCCTAAGGAGTGGTGAACTGGTCTAGGTCAGAGTTTATTGTCTTAGTTTCCTCCGATGGTGCACTGAGTCCTTTCCTCCCCGCTCCAGGCTGTTTTTGGTCCTGGAGCTTGTCATAGCAACAGAAAGGTAGCTGGAACAGTATGCATTCTTGAGTGTGTGCACAATGCCTTCTGTGGCTTCAAGTAAAGGCATAAAGCAACCTCTCTGACTTGTCAGAGCGTTGGTGTTGAGATGGTGGTGTTGTATTTCTTGGCAGGGGTAGACTGTGGGGATGAGTGTTTATGTGTGCGTGGGTATGTGTGTGGGGTATGTACATGTTCACATGGGTGCATGAACTTATGTGTGTTAAAGTGCATGTATGTACCAATAGTATGCACCCATGTATCTAGAGGCCAGGGATCAATAACAGACATTTTTTCGGAGCATGCCTCACTTTGTATTTCGAGGCAGGGTCTCTGGAAGATGGTTTGGTGATAATGGCAGGGGTTCAGTGCTCCTGGCTCTCAAGGAGAACCCTAAGTCTGGCCAGGAGGAGAGATGACTGCAGGCTGAACTGGAGAACTGGCTGGACACGAGGGTCTGAGTCTGTCTTACTAACCTGACCAAATACCACAAACTTGGTAATCTGCACATCACCAACGCTCTTTTTTTTTCCCCTCATAATTCTGGAAGCTGGAAAGTTCACAATGGTAGACAGATTTGGTATTTATTGCCCAACTACCTTCTGGTGGATGGCACAGGATCTTCACAGCAGAAGGGCTGAGGGAGTTCTCTGGGGGTGACTTGGAGATCTGCCTCCATGCCATCATTACCTCCCCCAAAGCCTTACCTCCTAAGACTTTCTGGTTAGGTTTTCACACATGCTTTGGAGGAGAATAGAAATGTTTAGACTCAGAGACAGAGAAAAGACTTTTGCTTATAATATCCTGGACACTTTTTAATCCGAAGATTAATGTAGGACCTGGGGACACAAAGCTAGTACCGAAAGCAGTATGTTGTACACAGAGAAACGAAAGGAAAGACTCGGTGTTGACACCTGCAGTTTCGTGTTTCCATTCCTGTTTGGCGTACATGAGTTGGGGAACCATAGCAGAGTCATATCTTGCTGTGGCATTTTTCTGAATTCCAAATTTCCCCTTCAAACGCGGAGTGGGCGGGAACCGAGTCTCATAAGCATCTTTCGAAGAGATGATGAGATGAAGTTTCTTCCATATTCTATAGATGAATTGATCCATATGTGGAAAGCTTAAGATAATAACGTGAGGTTGTAGGTTGGTGAGAGTCCACAGGCAGGGTCAACGTTTGAGCATCAGGCTTGTTTCCACTGCACATACTGTCTCAGATATGAGAGGGACCCCTAGGATGGGATGAGAATCAAAACAGAGACAAAGCAGGCTTGGGTCTGGGCTTCATTGTGTCCCTGGCTCTCAAGAAATGCCCCAAGTGTAGCCAAGAGGAGAGATGCCTGCAGGGTGAACCGGAGAACTAGTTTGGCTGAATGCTCTAAATTTAGCCAGCACTTGGACGCACCCTGCCTGGCTTTTGACTCCAGCCCAAGGCTGAAGCATGTTGGTGTTTTTCTCTTGGCTTCCCTGCAGGGCAGGAAAGCTGCTGCCCTCTTAGGTTCCTGAGGGCCCCAGCATCGGCGCCAGGGTTATAAATACCCGATCCTTCCCCTTGCACCTCCCACTCTAGGTGATCCACCAATTAATTCTGGATTTCTCGGCGGATTTTCTGGCCCTGTCCTCACCTGGGTGATCATGAAGGGTGGGGTGTGCCTCTACCTGGGGAGAGCCTACAGCAGAGTGTGGGGCAACCCTGAAGACACAGCTCCCAGTTTCCTCTGACCTTATGGGGACCCTGTTGAGCAGCCAAAAAGTCACATTGAGGAGACGATGTACTTCTCAGTCCCACCCAGGTAAAGACATTCGAGATTTGAGCCATATGTCATTGAGGGGTGACAGAACAGAGAAAATGTCATGTGGGAAGTAGTTACTGAATTCTGGTACTAGGTTGTGCCAGGCCGGTGCTGCACGACTGCCTGCCAGCCGGATGTAAGCGAACAGTGAGAGTCCACTGTGTACCAGCATCATATCAGGATTCCCAAGGGCATGCATTTCCTGGCCCACACTATCCCATGCAATTGTTATAGTGATCTAGGGACAGAAATGTTCCTAATTTATGGAGAGGCACTGGGGACTCCGAGGAGAGAAATGGCCTGTCTGAGTTGTGTGACAGACCAAAATATTCTCTCCGGCCATGTTGGAGGCCTTGCCTCCGACTTATGGCTAATGAGGCAAGGGAGGCAAGGGCAAAGATGTGACACTTGGATGACAGGATTCAGGTCACAGCACTGCCCCTGGCTTCCAGGACGTGGTCACCTCCTTGAGGCGAAACCTTAGGCTTCTGGTGTATCCAAGAGGGCAGAGACTAGTGTCAGCATGCAGCGTATCCAAGAGCATGTGAGGCATGAGCTTGGCAAGCTTGCCTGATTAACTAGTAGAAAGTAGAGGCTGAAAGCTAGCTAGTATTTATACAGTCCTTTCAGAACGCGAGCGTGCTATGCCTGTTGCGTGTTTTATTGACACTCCCGGCTGCCTTAAGAGAGATGCTTCCAGTACTTAATTTTGAAAAGAGAAGTCTGATGGTCAGAAGGCTGAGTCGCTTGCCCATGGTCTCACTAACATGTGATGGGCTATGGTTTTGGATCTAGAGAGAGTTCAAATGTAGGCTCATATATATACTGCTTTTGTCCTCATATCGCTGCCGTCATTGCTGTCACCATCATTTTAATCCGATTATTACAATCATCACTACATTCACAATACAGAACGTTTCTATCATCAGGAAGTTCTGTTATTCAGGGCTGTTCTAGAGGCTGCTAATGGCCAGTTTCATTGTGCACAACTGTGCTATGGAATAATCTTTTGAACACTGTGAGTATTGGTTAATAAACAGCTGACTGGCCAATAGCTAGGTAGGAAAAGTTTAGGTAGGACTTGCAGACAAAAAGAGAGTATAGGGAGAAGAGGGTGGCGTTCTCAGGAGTTGCAGAGAGAAGCAAGATGAATATGCCAAGCTGAAAGAAGGTCTCACCATGTGGTAAAGTCTAGATAAGAAATATAGGTTAATCTAAGATGTAAGAGCTAGTTAGTAATAAGCCCAAGCTATTGACTGAGCATTTATAATTCACAAGTCTCTGTATGATTATTTGGGAGCTGGCAATCCTGACGAAAAACTCTGCCTACACTATTGAGTATGTTCTATATGTACATTAGGACAGGAGACTTGTCTGGGCTTGGGGGTCTATGATCATGGTAGCCAAAACAAACAAACAAAAAACAAATCAAAGCAACAACAAGAAGAAGAGCAAAAACCTGTAGTTATGGAAGGGGGACAGAGGGAGACACTCCCGGCTGCACACCACTCTTAGTGGTCTGCTGAGCAGTGGTGAGGTAGTTGAAGATCTCCGTAGTAGAGTGCAGCCATTTCTCAGATATGCATCTGTGGGCAAACAGGGCAGACATAATAAAAATCATCCCTAGGCCTCAGTCCTCCAAATATGATATGGGTGTCCTATGACTTTAGGGGATATTAAGCAAACTGCATCAGAAGTGCCCTGTACTTGCCATGTCAGTCTCTGTGAGTTCATAGAGTTCGCTCTCAGTTGACTCAGTGGGCCATGTTCACTTGGTACCCTCCATCACCTCTGACTCCTACAATCTTTCCTCCCCTTCTTCCTTGGGGTTCCCTGATTCCACGGGGAGGGACCTGATGGAGACCTCTACTTTAGACACTCTCTCTGCATAATGTCTGACTGTGAGTCTCTGCACCCACGCCTATCTGCTTCAGGAGGAAGCCTCTCTGATGATGACTTGACAAGGCACTGACTTATGAGTATAACAGAATATTATTAGGAATCATTTCATTGATTTATTATTATTATTATTATTATTATTATTATTATTATTATTATTATCCAGTTGTGTTTGGGTCTACTTTGGGTCCTTAGGTTATCCAGTCTCTGGTTCCTGACCATCCAGGCAGTGTAGAGCATAGGCTCCCTCTTATGACCTGGGCCTCGTGTTATATCAGACATTGGCTGGCCACTACCACAAGTACCGCACCATCAATGTCCCAGCACGTCTTTGCAGGCAGGACAGATTGTAGACTTTGTGGCTGCTATGGTGTCCAAGTTTCTCTTGTGCGAGTACCTTCTCGCACCAAAGAGACAAAGCCTAGGCACAAACCCGACCTTTCCATGTTTGGTGAGCAGTGAGGATTTTGTCCTTGTCTATGGGGCCCCACTGTCAGTCTGTAGAGTGCGAACAGTCCTTGGGTTGTTTGTAGGCTTGGTTGTTGGAGCCAGACAGAGTCATGGGTTTTCCCCGTAAACGAATCATGCAAAGCTTTTCCCAAACAAGAGAGCTACATGCCAAGGTCTGGCGGTCACAGGAATAAGCACCTCCTCACCCCTCTCATCCACGTCCCTTCCTCTCCCTCCATCCTAGGTCCTGGTTTCTCTCCTTTCCTTCTAACCTGTCCTGCTTCCTTGTTGAAATCAGCTCCTGAGTTTTGAACTGAGAAGCAGAGACCACAGTCATAGATCCATTGCTGGTGTCCTTGAGACCCTGGAAATGCTAGACCCATGTAAAACAGCTCACACACAGTTTCATATCTGTCCTCACTGACCACACTGGGAGCCCAGATGAGAAAATCAAGGCTCTTGGATGTTCACTATCATGCTCCAGGTTTTGTGGCAGGTAAAAATAGCAGAGCGGGATATTGAATTCAGGTTTACAGGAAGTCAAAGCCTAGGATTCTCCATCCTTCCACATTCCTGTAGGATCTAGAGATCCCCACAGGGTTCTGAGCTCTTGGAACCATAACTCTGTCCATGCTTTGTGCCTGGCAGGTTCTCTGTGCTGGGTGTTTCAGGAGTTACCAGCCTCCCTGGCTCCTTCCCACTAAATGCCAATGTCTGTGGAATTGCCAAACACCCTACCCCGTCCCTACCACTGCCACAGGATGGATTGAGTGGTCCCCGTCGAAAACTCACTCTTAGACACACCGTGAATGGTACACAGGCTATGTGCCATCGCTGCTCCTTCCCTAAGCAGCAAAGCCTGGGAGGCCTTCAGGGTGGCAGGACCGCTGTCTGCCAGGGTGGCCGACTGGCACCCAGCTCTTCACAGCTTCAGCTGGCAATTATCTGAACAGATGTGCTGTAATTGCCTGAGGATCGGGTTTCCTCCAGGGGTCATTTTGTTCAAGGTTCCTGTTGGTGTGTATTTATATTCATCCCGATACAAAGCGTGGGCTTGGCTGAGTGGCGTATTAATGAAGGTAGGGTTGCTCCAGACGGCATCCTGGGAGTTGCCTGTAAAGCCACCCTCTAGAGCTCCCTTCCTCATGGGCTTAGCTGCCATGCAGTACTCTGGGGTGTGGGGCTGTGTGTGTGGGGTGTTAATGTGTGTGTGTGTGTGTGTATGTGCACATGCATGTGTCCGCACGCATGTGTGTCCCTGCACAGAGAAGTGGGCACTTGCTGCCTGTCTGGTTTGTGCTTGGAATGGAATAATTCACATAGATGAAGAGATAGTTTAATCAGGATGTCTGGCCATAAGACCTGACTCTGGCAACTCGACTTCCTGTATGCATCCCAGGGGCTTCCAGTGTGACATCTGGAGGGTGCTGAGCACCAGAGAAACCCTAGCTGACTCTCCCACCCCTAGAGAGTAGCTAATGAAATTAATGAGGACGCTGTACACATGTGCAGAACTTTGTTTGTGGACCATATGTTTTCTCAGACAGAATGCTGTGATGGCCCCGATACGGGGGATATTAAATAAACAGTCATTATGGACCACTGACCGGGCCAGGCACCACATTGTCCGTCCATCCACCCATCCATCCATCCATCCATCCATCCATCCATCCATCCA